TACAGCCGCAAGGAGATATCCAAAACCTCAGTTACCACACAAAGACAAAATGAAGTCTAAACCTCACTGCACTGAGATAAAATTTATACAAAATAAAATGTACCCAGAGTAAAATAAATATTTCAAGAATCCTTCTGTTATCCCCACATATCATTACACAGAAACACCAGCAAACTCTATGTACGTACTGACTCCTGCATTTGGATCACTTTCTCTTCCAATTCCACACATTATAATTTTCTCTCTGCTTCAAGCAGTAGATTAAATGCAGTTTTCTACATGAAGCTTTCCCAGATCACTTCAGCCAAAAATAATCTCTCTCCTCTTTATAGGACACTTCTACAGTAGTTTGTCTGTATGAGGCACACTATGAGATCTTTTGAGTATTTTTATATAACTACCTATTATTTCCTACCAAGCTGAAAACATACAACTTTCAAGTGATCAGGATTCACTTCTAGATAACATTTATTACTCCTCATGCTTTATTCATTAAATAGTTTTTATTTTTATTTTTTTAAAGATTTTATTTATTTATTTGAGAGAGAGAGCACATGAGAGGGGGGAGGGTCAGAGGGAGAAGCAGACTCCCTGCCGAGCAGGGAGCCCAATGCGGGACTCGATCCAGGGACTCCAGGATCATGACCTGAGCCGAAGGCAGTCGCTTAACCAACTGAGCCACCCAGGCGCCCCTCATTAAATAGTTTTTAATAGATAATACTTGATACTAATGGGAGAAAACTAAGGCACCTAAGAGGAAGGCAGCTGAGACTGAGAAACAGTGGCACTCACTCTCCTCTGAGGATGCTGGGGATTGTGGTCATTGCAGTAGCCTGATGTTTAGGATTGCTCTCCCTGCCTCTGCAGCTGGCTGGGAGGATGGAAACTACCAACTAGGAGGAACAGAAAGGAGGGTGAAGTAGGAGTCAGCGTTCCTCAGCTTTACAAGTAGAAAGACTCCATCTTGTCAAAGTTCTGTGAGCCAATTGGTTTCTTCAGAATGGACAAACTGTAATTAAATGGAAAAGAATGTGGGGCACCTGGCTGGGTCAGTCATTGGAGCATGCAACTTTTGATCTCAGGGTGGTGAGTTGGAGCCCCATATTGGGTGTAGAGATTAATTAAAAATAAAATCTGGGATCACCACATCAAAAACTAATGATGTATGGTGACTAACCTAACATAATAAAATTAAATTAAATTTTAAAAAAATCTTAAAAAAAGAATGTGAGACATAAATTATAATACTAATATACTAATTTACACTGGGAAATATAATCCCAAGTGACCTGTCATACTCCCATTTGCTGGCAGGGCATTCTCTTCTTACAAGTTTATATACATTGAAAGTTATATTCTAGTCAGAGTGATGAGCCTGTCATCAAGCCAGGAGTGTGAATGGGACAATCTTAGAAAGGTTCCTCTTTCTTCCTTGTGTTCCTGATTTCTTAACCTCCATATATAGTTCTATGTTAGGTCATTGCTAGAGATAACCAAACTTACCTACTATAGGAGGATATTTCATAATATCATCACATAGAATCGGTTTAAATTTTATGAGTCTTTTGCTGTCACCCCTTTCACTCCACCCTTCCCATGAGAGCTCTTTCCTTTTTAACTGAAATCTGTCATTTTCAGAACATTTAGTAGCATTTCTTTAAATGAGAAAAAAGATGTATTTTAAAAATTAATTTAAATTCAATTTAATTAACATATAGTGTATTATTAGTTTCAGGGGTAGAATTTAGTGATTCATCAGTTATATATAATACCCAGTGCTCATTATATCAAGTGCCCTCCTTAATGCCCATCACCCAGTTATCTCATCCCCCTACCTACCTCCCCCCAGCAACCCTCAGTTTGTTTCCTATAGTTAAGAGTCTCTTATGGTTTGTCTCCCTCTCTGATTTCATCTTATTTTATTTTTCCTTCCCTTCCCCTACATTCATGTTTTGTTTCTTAAATTCCACATATGAGTGAAATCATATGGTATTTGTCTTTCTCTGACAGACTTATTTTGCTTAGCATAATACACTCTAGTTCCATCCACGTCATTGCAAATGGCAAGATTTCATCTTTTTGATGGCTGAGTAGTATTCCGTGTGTATGTGGGTGTGTGTGTGTTATTTTTCATAATCTCTTATGATTTGTATTTCTGTGGTGTTGGCTGTGATTTCTCCTCTTTCATTCATAATTTTATTTATTTGGGTCGTTTCTCTTTTCTTTTTGGTAAGTCTGGCTAAGGAACCAGCTCTTAGCTTCATTGATCTGTTCTACTTTTTTGTTTGTTTCTGTATCATTTATCTCTGCTCTGATCTTTATTATTTCCCTTCTTCTGCTGGATTTAGGCTTTATTTGCTGTTCCATTTCTAGCTCCTTTAGGTGTAAACTTAGGTTGTGTATTTGAGACTTCTCTTGCTTCTTGAGGTTGGCCTGTATTGCGATATACTTCCCTTAGGACTGCCTTTGCTGCATCCTAAAGGTTTTGGACTGTCATGTATTCATTCTCATTTGCTTCCACGTACTTTCCTATTTCTTCTTTTTAATTTTTTTTATTTTTTAAAGATTTTTATTTATTTTTGAGAGAGGAGAGAGAGAGAGAAAACGCATGAGTCAGGGGAGAGGCAAAGGGAGAAGGAGAAGCAATGAAACATCATCTCAAATGTGTTAGAATGGCTGTCATAAAAAAGACAAGAGATAACAAATGCTGGTGAGAAAAGGGCACCCTTGTGCCCTGCTGGTGGACATGTAAATTGGTGTAGCCACTATGGAAAACAGTATGGAGGTTCCTCAAAAAATTAAATATAAAACTACCATTTAATCTAGCAGTCCCACTTATGGGTATATACCTGAAGGAAACAAAATCATTATCTGCACTCCCATGTTCATTGCAGCACTATTTACAGTAGCCAAGACATGGAAACAACCCAAGTGCCCATCAATAGATGAATGGATAAGAAGATATGGTACATATATATACACAATGGAATGTTATTGAGGCATAAAAAGGAAATCTTGCCTTTTGCAACCACATAGATAAATCTTGAGGGCATTATGTTGAGTGAAAATAAACAGTGAAAGACAAATACTGTATTATTTCACTTATATATGTAATCTAAAAAAAACTCCTAAACTCATAGAAACAGAAAACAGATTGGTGGCTGTCAGTGGCAGTGGGTGAAGGGTGGAGGAAAGGGGAGAATGTGGTAAAAGGTACCAACTTCCAGTTAGAAGATTAGTAAGTTCTGGGGATCTAATATACAGCATGGTGACTATATTTAATACTTTATATTGTATATTTGAGAGCTGCTGAGAGAGTAGATTTAATTTAAAAGTTTTCATCACGAGAAAAATCGTAACTGTGAGGAGATGGATGTTAAACTTAAGTGGTAATCATTTCTCAATGTATATATAAATCATTATGTTGTACACTTTAATACAATGTTATATGTCAATTATATCTCAGTAAAACCGGAGGGTGGGAGGGGCTGTTGCCAGTATCTCCTAAATATACACCCAGACCTTGGTGCTGTATTGCTTGATGATTATTTTTGATACTTAATATATAGAGTGTTGGACTCTGCCCCTAGATATTCTGACTCCTTGTCTGGGCTGAGGCCAGGAAATCTGTATTTTTACAGGCTTCCCAGTGATTCTGATGTAAGGCCAGAATTGAGAGCCATTAGAACAGATGACCTTTTAAAGTTAGTCATTAAGGGGACACCTGGGTGGCTCAGTCGGTTAATCGTCTGCCTTCTAAGCGTCTGCCTTTGGTTCAGGTCATGATCCCAGGGTCCTCAGATCAAGTCCCTCCTCAGGCTCCTTGCTCAGCGGGGAGCCTGCTTCTCCCTCTGCCTGCTGCCCCTGCTTGTGCTCGTGCTTTCGCTCTCTGACAAATAAATAAAATCTTTAATAAAAAAAGTCACTAAGAGGGCGCTGGACCAGGAGCATTGGGTGGGCAGGTGCTGCCCTCTAGTGTCGCTGGCTGCTTGCTACATTTAACGCTTACTGTAACCTGCTGCATGAGCACTCCTGGTCTTGCTGCCTGACACTACTATGGGGTTTCCTGTCCATCTCCCTGCAAATTTTAACTCTTGGGCATTAATAAAAACACCCATTATAAAACTGCTGCTGCTGACTAGCACATTGTGCTTCTCTGTCCCTAGCACCTTGGCACATCTTAGATGTTCAGTAATATTTTCTGATACTGAGACACAGCAGAACTCCTTTGTAAGGTTTGTGTGGAGGGACCAACTCACATCAGTGGCATGTCTTTCAGGATTTTTCTTTATGGGGCTCTGAGATGACCCATATGGTACATATGAGTCAACAACTGTGAACCGTTTCCTGAAGAACTTCTACTATTACAGTAATTGTGGCACTGTGGCACACTCATGGAAGAAGAGTCTGGCTTTGGTAAGTCTTCTCGAAACAAATGAATGGAATTTATAGTTGTGTAGCCCTCCAGAGTCCACAGAGGCTTTTCAGGTGCTTCGTTTCCCTTGTTTGCTCTTCACTATAAACTGTGAAGCAGGAAGGGCAAATGTGAAGATCCATGCCCACATCATCGATGTGTGCATTACATGAATGCGCCTTTGTTTGGGAAGACACTGATCCCACTGTCCTAACCACTCAAGCACCCTTCATCAGTGAGTACCAAGGCAGTAAACAAACCTGTACTAAAGGCCTACTCTGCAAAAACACATAAGATTGTCTTTGGCTCTAACTCCTGAGTTTGGAGACAGGAACAAGGGTGAGTGAGTTGCTGCAGAGGGGTTCGCAGCAGATGGTTTTAATGGCTTAGTAGGATGGCAGTGGCTGTGGGTTATCTGTAAGGTAAATAGTGCATTGATTGGAGCAGGTGCAAGGTTTGCGCAATCTGATGGTTTTGTCATGGGCAGGGGGTTAGGAGGAGACTGAGAACTGTTTCTGCAGTAAAAAGGCAGCAGCAGCTGTGGGAAGCAGAGCTGGTTGGGTAGGACATACAATATTCTGTTCACCTTCTCTTCATCCCACTGGTGAGGGACGGAGTGTCCTAGGGTTCTGGAGGTGGTTGAACTCGCAGCACTGGATACTGGACCTATGAGATTGACAGCAGTTTATTAATCACATATATTCACAGCCCAGGGGAGGATACCAAACACCATGCAGGGCCACATTAGGTCAGGTTAATGGAAGACAGAACTGTTGAAGTAGCATAGAAGGCAGCAGCAGCTGCAGAAAGCAGGAGCAGGTTGGGAAGGAATAATAAAAGTTAAAGATTCAAGCTACATTGTAGGTATCTCGACCTGCTACTAAAAAGGTGATGCAAGCTGTTTGTTAACTTGATATTCAGCACTCTTTGGTTGAAAAAGTCTTCTCATTTTTGTAGAATGGTATTTGTAAGTTCAGGGAAGATGTTAAAATGGCTCAAATTCATCCATCATCAGGGTGAGACTCCTCTTAAGTTATTTTAAATGTAAGGATGTATTTTGTTTGCGTTTTGTTCTATATAAAAAAGACACTTAAAAAAACATTCACTAATCCATTTTTTTATGAAATCATTGTCAGAGTATTCTTCCTTATAGCTAATAAAAAAGATCCCTCATACTAATAATTGGTAGGGTGGGTTTTTTTGCTTTTTGTTTCTTAAATTGTGGTATATACTTAACATAAAATTTACTGTTTTAACTATTTTTAGGTGTATAGTTCAGTGTCATTAAAACATTTACAGTGTTGTGCAGTCATCTCTACTATCCATTTTCAGAACTTTTTCATCATCCCAAAGAGAAACTCTGTACCCACTGAATAATAACTCCTTAATCCCCTCTTCCCCAAGCCCTAATAAGGTTGATTCTTGATTCATGTGAATTAGTTTTATCTTTTTTTTTTTAAAGATTTTTATTTATTTATTTATTTGAGAGAGAGAGAATGAGAGACAGAGAGCAGGAGAGGGAGGAGGGTCAGAAGGAGAAGCAGACTCCCCGCCGAGCAGGGAGCCCGATGTGGGACTCGATCCCGGGACTCCAGGATCATGACCTGAGCCGAAGGCAGACGCTTAACCATCTGAGCCACCCAGGCGCCCTAGTTTTATCTTTTAACTAGGTTCTTAAGTGTCTTGACAACAGGCAGGTAACACAACTCACATGTGTTTGTGCCTTTGATATTGCCCAGTTTAGGGATGACCTCAGATTGAGTGCTCACCACACCTGGCTGGTGGTAGACTGGATGCTGGAGGAAGGACCAAGTAGCACTTTCAGAGATGTTGAGCCTAAGAATTTTGGGGGTGTGGGACCACTCTTATCAATAGGGCAAGAACTTAAGGAAATTCAGAAGTCCTAGGGTGTTGGAGGCTTCTCACAATGTCGACAGGGGCCATGACGTTAACATTAATGTGTGAATCAGTGGATATAAGAGTGGTGGGTAACTGAGGTTGAACAAGAAAAAGCTTGCCCTGCCTAAAGGTATTCAAATTCAGACTTCATAAAACATTTAGCCAAACATTCCAGCCATGTTGGATTCAACCAAAGAACCACAAGTTTGTAGTCCTTAATCAAAAGTGTTGCCAGTGACCCATCTCCAGGAATAGGCAGGATGCTGAAAGATCTATAGAGGCTGTTTCGGAAAATCAAGCTCCAGAAGAGAACCTCACTTATGTGCCTCATGGAAGGCAGTATTTACAGTCTTTCCCCCCCCCATCTCAAGCTTGACCATAGACTGGGAGGAATCCTTCTTTAACTCTCAGATAGTTATTTTCAAAGGCAGCAGCTATATCCTTTCCTTGACAGATCAGACATGATCCTCTTCTTGAACCTCTTAATACTGACCACCAATTGCCTGTGACATCAAAATCCTCACTTTCTAATAGTTAACAAGATATGTATGTCCTAGCCTCTTGTGTGTTTTTTTAGTTATCTTCCCAGTACAGGTGATGGAGTTCCTCTGACCTAGCCAGTCTCTCTCTTATAGGGCATGCAGTGTACATAAAGACTAACTTATCTAAGGATAGGTGCCAGACTGTTGTCTTAAGGAGAGAGCTAAGCCATCAGGTTATAGGGAATAGAGCATGAAAGAATATATGCTGCCCATGACCTTGGCACCTCTAGGGCCCAAGCTCTGCAACTCATACAGACAACCAGACACCTCATCTGAACACTGCATCACATGAGCTTCTCCTAGACAAATAAAGGCCTGTGATGCTCTGCATACCTTTTGAAATAGGAGAGCTTTGTGATGTAGTCTAGTGACCTGGTTCCATCTTCTGTGAGGCAGAGATGACAACGTCTAGAATTTGGAGGCATTAGGTTCCAAGTCCCTGAAAGCCTAGGAAGAGAGATGGCTAGTGACGTTTAGATTATGTTGACCCCTACCTTTCTTCTGTGTGATTTTGGATATTCCTTATACATTTATGGCTCCTTCATTATTATTGCATTAATTATTTGGCAAGTGAAGAAGAGCCACCAAGAATTAAGGTTGGGACCTAACAGGAGCTGTTGCCAGGTAGGGAGACACAATGACCATGCCTGAACTGATTAAGCCTCAAACAAGATTTTATCCCCTTACTTTCTCCTGTTACCCTGACCCCTTCTTTTTTATGGGGGTTTCTTCATGGATCCCAGAAGAGCTCCAAATTTGGGTTGATTCTTCTGGCTGGGAGACATTCAGGACCTTGGATAGCTAAAATCCTTTGGCTACTAGACCTCTTATCCTTTAATCTGTTCCTCTTTCCTCCTGTCTCACTTTGATCTCCCCACAGAACTTGTTCAGGGAATGGGGGTAGAGGTTTGGAGTATAGAAGAGCCTTAAAATGAATTAGTAATAAGAGAAGGGAAATGATGGGTGGAAAAGATAGAGTAGGGGAAAGAATGGTAGGAGAGTATATATATAAAATTGGAATATAGAAAAAATTTGGGAAATATTTACAGGTTTTGTCTCATTTAGACACAAAAAGTAAAAGGTGCCCAGCTTAATACTCTAACTTTTTTGTTTTCAAGAGTCACCGGAGAGTCAAACAAAGGGCTAAAGATAGAACATCAAGAGGTAAAGTCCTAGTTTCTCCTTGGACTCCCCTCACTATGGGCAAGATTCCCCTGATTCCTGTCCCTCTATGACCCCTGGAACAAGTAGTCAGGTGCTCTAACCACTGAAGGCTCCAATTACCCCAGTTGACAGATTCTCCCAGAAGACTTTCTTGGGTGGGAAATCAGGGCCTAGGAATGTTCCAAAATTCTCAAGGCCTAGGAATGTTCCAAAATTCTCTACCTTACCCCTGCCCCTGGGAATGAAGAATGAGGAAGCAGGACAGAAGCCTTTAGCTGTGTCATTTACTAGTTTTACGACCTTGTGGAAGTCACTTCATCTCTCAGTCTGTGATCCCTGAAATGGGCATCTCATGATCCTGCCTCACTCAGGGTGTGGTTGTGATGATCAAATGAAATTAGGTCTAGGACAACATGTTGCAGCGGGTTAAGTTGTACACAGACGTGCCTTAGAGCATTGACTGTTGGGGTTTTCAGCCTCCTCTTACTCAAAGACCTTCAGCTTGCTATAGGATGTCCCTGCATCCTCTCATTCCTTGTAACACTGTCCTGGTTTTTCAGCTAGGAGACATTCCCGAGAAGAAGCTGAGAAGCCATGGCAGCTGCTCTCTGTTATGAAAAGGTGATCACTTACTCTTTGCAGTCTCCAAACTCCCAGCCTGGCCTGTGATGATTTCTCTGCTTGGCCTGGGAGGGCGTCAGACACAGTGGATGCTGAGGACTGGTTGAGAGGGTTGTCAGGGCAGAAGGGGATCAGGTGTCTCAGGAAGGAGGAGTCTTCCAGTTCTGCTCTGGGCTTAGGTTCACAGTGGTCCTGAAATTCAGGATTTTGCTACTATGTAATTCATTGACGACTCTACATGAGTTTGTACTCAGCCACAGACAAATTATCCAGTCAAGAGAATAGAGAAATGCATGCATAAATAAATCACCATGTCATATTCCCTTTATAGTTACAACTATTCAAGGGCAGACCCGTGGAGCCTGCTAATATTACCTCCATGGTTTTATCTTCAGGGAGGCCAATTCCTGGGACAGCCCTCAGAAAGGATCGTGTCATCTTATCCTCTTCTTAAAATCTCTAAAGAATGGGATTGGCCTTTAAGAGATGCTATGTACAGGAGCTAGGACACTCCATAGTCTCCAGAATGCAGAGTTCCCACAAAGACCTCATTTTCCACAGCTTAGGAATACTGAATGCCAGGCTGTGGCCTTCTTTTTTTTTTTTGGCCGTGGCCTTCTTAACCCCAGATGAGACTGATTCCAGGTTCTTTTGGGAATGTTCCTGGTGATGCCCATTCAGCTAACCATTGGCTCCCTGCCTCTGCCTGGTTTCCTTCTCCTGGTTCAGCTTCTCAACATAGATCAACAGACAGTACACCCCACCTCTTAGTCTCTCATGGCCCTGCATTCCCACGGGTTGTCTGAGATCTAGCCCAACAAGCTCCAGACCCTCAGCCCAGCCCAGCCCAACATAATTTGCCAATGGCCTTTTCCTAGGAGGCAAAGGAGATGGGTAAACACCATGAGGGTACAGGCCCCAAGGCTTCCAGGACTAGGGGAGGGTGAACGAAATCTCCAGGCCACACATATTCAAAGAGGCAGGTGTTGGGGTGCCTGGGTGGCTCAGTTGGTTAAGCATCCCACTCTTGATCTCAGCTCAAGTCTTGATCTCAGGGTTGTGAGTTCAAGCCCTGCTTTGGGAAGTACATCAAAAACTAATGATGTACTGTGTGGAGACTAACATAACATTAAAAAAAAAAAAAAAAAAGGCCCGCATTGGGCTCCATGCTAGGTGTGGAGCCTACTTAAAAAAGCATAACAAAACAAACAAACAAAAAGAGGCAGGTGTCACTCCATCAGTAACTGTTGCCATCTTCCCTTCCCAGCCAGGGCTGGCTTCCTAAGGAGGGAAGTGTGAGGCGGCTCCTGTGTGCGGATCCTACCTGCCCCATCTGCAATGCCGTGGCTCTGGAGATTCAGCAGTTGCTGGTGGGTGAGAACACCCTGATCTCTCCACCTTCATCGGGGCCATCGCAGGACTCCTCTTGCCTAGAGATTTTGTCCATGTCTAGTCTCTCTTTGGAGCAGAGTCAGGGTTCCCTGCACTCCAAAGATCTTTCACTTCCATCTGTAACCCCCACAAAGTTACAATTAACGGATCCGAAATCCTTAACACAGTCAGCTGCCCAGTCAACCAATGTCAGCATCCAAGATCAGCAGGCTGAACACCTTCAGCGAAGGAAGGGATTTCAAGTGCCAGATGTGTCCAGGGATGCAGGAGCTCTTTCTTCTTCAAGTGAGGAGCCTAGGATTCCTGTGAATCAGGACAAGAGGAAGAGCCACTCTGAATGTGTGCTGGAGAAACAAGGTAAGCTGCCCTTGAATATCTGATTCTCTTTCTTTCCCTGAATTCAGAACTCATGAACCTAAAACACCCCATTGCCTTGCATGTTCCTATTTCCCCAAAGCCCTGAGGTATCCTTAAGTACATGCATATAAATGCATGCATTTCTATACCTGAGGGCTCCCAACATCTTTAGAAGAGTTCTTATGACAGCTTATAACACATAGCCCCAAATATTTTCCAAGCCTGGGAGAAAAAACCCAACCATTTCTTTCATCATAATGCTACCTCTAAGGCCTCTGTTGAAAATATGGTCTATCTTCCTGACCTGGGTTCATGAGAGTTGAGCCAGTCTGCCCAAACTTTCTGGGGTTATAGAAGGATCCACTATGAAACCAGAGCAAAGACACTGCAAGCAAATCCCAAACTCCATGGCTCTGGCTCTACCCTCTACTACGTTTCGTTTCTAAGTGGTCTCTATCCATTGCCTGGAGGACCCACTGATGCCTCAGTGTGCTATCTGCAGCAGAAACATAGCTACCTTTCTTTGATTCCTCTTTTCTGCACAATGAGTCCTCAGTCTGCCCAAAGATCTCTCCACAAAACGGGAGCCCCAGTCCCTTTTTCTTCAATAATTTCTTCTTGATCTCTGTACTGTCTAAAATTTCCCCCACCTAAGTTAGCCCCATCTTCTTTCCACATCCCCAAATTTGGGGCTTCTCCCTCTGACTAACAACGAACCCATATCAATATCCCACTTCCTCCTCTGTCCAAGGGTGAAGCCTTAGAGTGGCACCAGCTGCAAAGGCAGCCACATCTTCAGTGGGGCTTGCCAGCTGTTGCCCAGTAATCTCTGCAGATGCAGAGAATCATACAAAACGAAGCCCTGAGACATGTTTCTGCCTGTCCCTAGGGGCCTACCTGCTAGGAGAAGCCCATTTCAGTCTTTAAGAGGGAGGTGGTGTTTCCCTGGAACATGCCCAGAGCTGCTTGAGTTCTACTTTCAGAAGTGGTTGATTTAGCAAATTGATTCACTATTGCAAGGGCCTGCCCCAGAAGATCCAGCAGTCCAAACAGTTGCTTCTGTCCCCTCCTCGCCAGCAGCCCCTGCCCCAGAGCAGCACACTGACCAGTGTGAGTGTCCCCTAGCTTGTAGACCTAGAGGCCAGTGGGGATAGTGACCTGTTCTGATCCACTGTGGGAGCAGGGCCAGTCCACAGTTGCTTGTCCAGCTAAGGCAATGTTGCAGAGCTACAGTGACTACAGGTGTGGTAAAAATTGCTAGGGCATTGTTCCTGTTCACATTTGTAGCTGTTGGGACTAGAAATCATTGGGTCTACAGCATTCCAAGTGCCCTGGCAACAGCTTGGTTCTCTTGTGCCCAGAAAGTAAGTCCCTAGATGTGGAGGCAGCTGTTAGCCCCTACATGGATCAGGAAGCTACATCCTCAATACTGATAGGCCTTGACTAGCAGCAACAAGCCTCACCTGATGCTGTTACTGATCATCCTGATCAGCACCTGCCTGGGTATCTTCCCAAGGAGCCATTGAGAAACTGTAGACAAGTTTTGGCCTTCCTGTCAGGGCTGCCAGCTTTTTATTATGTGGCTTTCTCCAAAGCCATGGCCCTGGCAATCACTAGCCAATCACTAGCCAATCACATGACGTGTCTGGGCCTGTTGGGGGACAGTAGAACCTATGGCTTAATATCATCTAAACACCAATGTGTAAGTCCTGGGCCAGCTTTCAAGATGCCAATGAGACTTGTGCAGACAGTGCATAAGCATTCCAGGTTGAAGTATAGGTGAATGGAGATGGTGCCTCTAGAGAGCCAGACATCCTGCTGGCCCCTGTTCACTCAAGATACCCATCTTGGCCAAACTAAATTTTTACCTAAAAAAGAAATTCCTGGAGATACATTTGGGAAGTCTTATAAAGACAAAGGAGTCCAGGAACAAGTTGTGGATGTCCCAAGGAATATCTGTACCTAGAACTCCTTTTGGAGTCTAAACAACCAAGGAAAAACATTGCTCCAGGATCTATCCATCCCACCAGGTATCATCCCATGTGCTCTAGAATGCTCCACCTAAAAGAACAGCTTGCAGTTAAACTAAGGCAGTGCAGGAGAACCAAAGGCAAGTTAGTCCCACCGGGCCTCCAAGATCTCACAACCCACTGGGGACACAACAGGGGCCCAGGTGCTTTGTATTCATCTGGAAACCAGTGTGAACAAGCTCAACCTGGAGGAGCCCTGGAACCCTTATCCCCTGCAAAGGTGAGGACAACTCCCTACCCCAGCAGAGAAAACAGAGGACCCAGGAAGACTTAAAGCAACAGAGAATCACAGACAAGGGGGTGCTGCTTTGAAGCTCTCCCTAGCCAGAGAGAACATCTACTCTGTTGAGGTTCAGAGGCCAGGGGGGACTCTTATAAATAGAACCCTTAGCACCCCTGACTTCCCAAATGTATCTCCAGGATCTTTCTCAAGTATAATTTGTTAGGTCAAGATGGTTGCCTTGAGTGAGTTGGAACTAGCAAGGATCTATCTGGATCTGCAGAGCCACCATTTCCATCCCCTCAGCTGACTGATCCCTATCATCACCTTCACCAGTTTCTCCTTCACTTTGAGTTCCTAGAGTTTCCCCTAGGGACTCCTTGAGTCAAAAGGCCAGATGAGAATGGTCTGTAAGGTTGTTAAAGCAAGCTGAATGATCTCACCCAAACAAGGATTCCTCAGAATGCCAAAACTGGAGTTGCCAGAGCTTAATGGGCCAGACCTTACATGACCAACTGACTGGGCCATTATTTGCTGGGCCAAATTGTAAGTCCAGCATTGAAACTGACCACATTTTTTGAGATCCCAACTTTGCAGGGCCAAAATTTATAGGGCCACACTTTCTAGGGTCAAGAGCTGCAGGGTCTATTAAAAGCAGCCCAAATTAACAAGATCCCATTCTTCCAGAAGCTGCAGAAGCTGGCTTAGGAAATAAGGTGAAGCACTTTCCACACTGGATTAACCCCGAGATGAAAGGTCAAGGGCATAAAGAATCCATTCTCCTCTCTAAGGATGAGACAGTGCCCAAAACCATGACAAAAAAGGTTGAGAAGACTCCACCCCCCACCAAACACCCTGTGACAGGAGCCAAGTTGGAGAAGAAAACGGAGGAGGAGGGCATGACCTTCTTTGATGCCCCCCAGTCTCTGGACAGTGAACTCAAGCAACAATCCCTTCTGCCCAGACGCTCCTGGTTCCTGTGCCTTTCCCATGACAGCTCCAAGCACTGTCCTCAGCTGACTTGTGCCACTCAGCCAGAAAATCCATCCCATGTCTCAGCTCTCACCTCAGCAGAAGGCACTGGTCTACACAAAAGAATACCCAGTCCAGGAAAAAGGAGTTCGTAGGTTCCCAATCCTCTGCATGCCCATGAAAAAGGAAGTCATCCTTTCCGTTAATGTGCAGGTGAGGCAGGACCCTCTCCAAATATACTCTATACCTCTAAGCAAAGAACCACCTGTTTGTGCCTCCTTATTTTCAAGGTTGTATGTGATGTAGAGAGTAGAGAAGGTAGATAATACTTCCCATGTAATATAGGAGCTTAAACTCATATTTCAAATAGATCAGCATTTTCCACACAATTCTTTCAGTCCCACCCTGAATTGTGGATAGGGGGACTTGAGCAAAGAAGGAAGACCCTTGTCCAAGGTGCACTGAGGGTGCACCAGGCTTGAATTCTATCATGTCTTCCCGTGGCATCTATGGGCCCTAGAGGAACAATGTGGGCATGATGATAGTATAAGAAGTCGCAGCCAGGAATCTAGTGCATTTTGGGTCCATAGGCACAATTCACCAATAACTTCTATATATGCCCACAGTCTGAAGGGAAGTTTTTTACAGGAGTGTCACAATGCTCATCCTTGATAAACACAAAAGAACACAGATAATGTGACATGTGTCAGAAGCAAATGATAGAATCTCCCCTCTCTGCACCCTGTTGTTATTGATTAGATCTTTAGAAGGGCTAACCCATCTGGGAGTCTGCTGTAGCCTGTTGCCAGTTTGACCCCCATTGCCTTTCAGTTGCATGGGATAAATGCCTCCTAGAACAAAGATCAGTTAAAGAGAAGGTTCCCAAAAAGATCACAATAAAAATGACTTTGACCTGAGTCTTATATTCAACAGTTCAAATATTCAACTACTATGTGCCAGGTACTATGCCAGACACTAGGAACACAATGGTGAACAACACCAGGCCTTCCTCCATTGAGCTTATGGAAGCATGGAGTAGACTGTCAAATAGAAAGTTACTAAAAGCACTGTGATAAGGACTAATTAGAGGATGTAGGGGAAATACACACAGGGCACTTAACCTAATTTGGTAGGGGGAGGGGGTTCATGGAAATTTTCCTAGAAGAGGTGATATGTAGACTGAATTTCAAAGGATAAGAAGTTGTCCAGGAAGGAAGTGGGGAATCTCTGGGTTTCCCCAGGCTGAAAGTACAAACTGAGCAAATGTATGGTGTCAAGCAAATGGGTATGCCATGTAAGAGAACAGTAACTTGCTGGAGAAGTACCTATGATAATCAAAAGCATATTAAAATGTTTGAGGGATCAGAATGAGATTGCCAAACTAGAGAATGGATGGCATTCACTCATGCATTTTTTTCATTCCTTCAACTAATACTGAGCGTCTACTATATGCCACACACTTGTATAAGCACTGAGTATACAGCAATGAACAAAAGAGGAAAAAACAATCTGTCTTTAATGAGCTTACGTTGATGGTACACTAGGGAGGGAGATAAAAGCAGCATAAGTAGGGGTGCCTGGGTGGCTTAGTCGTTAAGCATCTGACTTTGGCTCAGGTCACAATCCCAGGGTCCTGGGATCAAGCCCGCCATCGGGCTCCCTGCTCCGCGGGAAGCCTGCTTCTCCCTCTCCCACTCCCCCTGCTTGTGTTCCCTCTCTCGCTGTGTCTCTGTCAAATAAACAAATAAAATCTTAAAAAAAAAAAGCATAAGTAAAAAATACAGTATGTAGAAGAAGACCAAATATATAAAAGGTAAGAAGTTTGGGGAAGACTTAGGTGGGGTGCAGTTTTAAATAGGGAGTTCAGGGCAGGTCTCACTAAAAATGTGGGCATGAGGGTGCCTGGGTGGCTCAGTCAGTTAAGCATCTGCCTTTGGCTCAGGTCATGATCTTGGGGTCCTGGGATTGAGCCCCGTGTCGGGCTCCTTGCTTGGTGGGGAGTTTGCTTCCCTCTTTGCCTGCAGCTCCCCCTGCTTGTGCTCTCTCTCTCTGACAAATAAATACATAAAATCTTTTTTTTTTTTCCCCCAAAATGTGGGCATGTGGGATGCCTGGGTGGCTCAGTCAGTTAAGCATCTGCCTTCAGCTCCGGTTATGATCCAGGGTCCTGGGATCGAGTCCCTCATCAGGCTCCTTGCTTGGCGGGGAGCCTGCTTCTCCCTCTGCCTGCTGCTCCCCGTGCTTGTGCTCTCTCTCTGTGTCAAATAAATAAAATTTTAAAAAATGTGAGCATGGACTAGAGAGAGATTAGAGAGTAAATCACATAGGTAACTGAGGAAATTTCATGTCAGACATGGATAACTGAGCAACTTTCATGTCAGAAACATGGTCTGGAGGCTGGAGCATGCCTGAGCTATTCCAAGGAAGAAGGACAGTGAGCCCAAAGCAGAGTAATCATTAAGGGGGAAAGTAATGGAGGACAAATCAGAGCTGTAAAGGGGCCAAATGGGGTAAGGCCTGGAAGGTCATTGCAAAGACTTTGACTTTTTGAGTAAATGGAAGTTGCTGTTAGAGGATCTGCTTAAATCTGCCTTATGTTTTAAAATGATCACCTAGGCTGAGTTGCTAACAGCAGTGTTGAGGGTATAGACTTGGATAGAAGCAAGGAGATTGATTAGTCATGAGATTATTCCAGTAATCTTAGCAGCAGAGGAGACCAGAAGTGTTTAGATGCTGGAATCATTTTGAAGTAGAGACAATAGGATACTGATATCCATTTACTGATAGATTGGATGTGGACAGTTAGAAAAAATAAAAAATCAAGGATAACACCAATGTTTTTGGCCCAAAGTTCTGGCAATAGGGAGTTACCATTAACTGATGTGAGAAATGCTAGGACTGGAGTAGAATGATATGTGTGATTGGAAAGGGGGAGTGGTAATCAGGAGTCCACTTTTTTTTTTTAATTTATTTTTAAAAATTATATCCAATTAGGAGTTCACTTTCACACAGAGATAGATACTGGACATTCAAGTGTATATATTGATTAGACAATTTGAGCATATGACCCTGGAGTTCATGGAAGGGCCTAGGCTTTAGGCAGACAGATAGACAACTAGATAAATAGATATACATAGGTGATGATGATGATGAAGAAGAAGAAGATAGATGATAGCTAGATAGATAAATAGATGTATTTAAAACCACGAACCATGAGACTAGGCTAGGGAGACAGAAAAATTATTAAATCGGTGTGATGAGTGCTATGGTATATGGGATCCTGTCCCAGGAGGAGGTACTCAGCTGATAAGGAGAACCCTGGGGTCACATAAAGGTGTCACAATAAAAATGACCTTGAAAGGCATCTTACATTCAACAATTAAAATATTTGAGTACTTACTGTCTTCCAGGAACTATGGCAGACATAACAGTCACCAAGACACAGGCCTTGCCTCTATGCAGATCATGATCTCCTGGGTAGACAGTCTCACATGCCCAAATTGCCTAATCAAAATAAACACATGGATGTCCAATATTCATCTTAAAAGTGAACTCCTGATTCCCTGTCCCCTTAGATCTACCACAGAATCACACATGCCAGACCTGGCAGAAAGACAGGCTGCCCTGCCTGGAAGGTATGGATCTCTGTTTTGGACACCTTGTATCTCTCAGAAGGTGGCACCTCTGCATTCCCCACCTCTGCATTCCCCACCTCTGCATTCCCCACCTCTGCATTCCCACCTTCTGACCTACCACACAGGAGCCAAGAGCTAAAGGAAATGCAGGAAGTGCTGTAATCTCCCTATGATGTGGTATGGGGGACTATGGGACACTCCTGCTCCACTGATTGGTAAGGAAATCCTGGATGACTCAGTATCCCAGTAAACCAAGAGGTGGTGGCAGGACTCTCTTCCACTGATAGGACCCAGTGTGTCCACTGCTAGCAAGATGCAGAAAAACGCAGGATGGGAAGAAGCATCAATGTGTCCCTCCTCTGAATGATGATTCTCTGCCTAACGGATGGGGGCCCAGCCCCTGTTGTGACCCTCAGGGTGAGGAGGCCCAAGGCCCAAGCTTGCTGAGCCAACACCCTCCACGTGTTTTCCTAAAGCATCCCCGAGATCATAGGAGGTCTTGTGACAGGCACATCCTCCCTGCCTGGTGGGAGTTGGGCAGACAGCCATGTAGGAGGATGCCCAAGAGAAGGAATGTGACTCAGAAGGGTCACAGCATCATCAGGTGAAAAGCCAAGGTTAATGTACACACATCCTGGCTTAGGTGGAACAGGCCCTTCCCATGGTCCCCCACAGGCTCCTACCTGCCCCCAGTAGATTTCTATCACGGAAATTTCAAACAGCTGACCATAACTGCTAGACTTTTTTCCTGCTCATTCCGCTATGGCAGCGAGGTCATAGAATATTCTGAGCACAGGAGTTAAGTGTGTGAGACTTTTATTTCCTTGCTCTTGCTCAATTCTGTCATGCCAACCTCTTGCCAGCAGGGGACCAGGATTCCATGAACATGAGTTGAAACTCCCTGCCCTACTCAAATTCCTAACCTGTTGGAGATCCTTAGATTCAAGGGCTCAGTTATCTTTGCTCATCTGCTCAAAATTCTAGTTCTCTACTCTGTAGTCCTTTGGGTAAAATATCCCCTGCTCCTAAATTCCCACATCCTCTGAATCTCATCCTCCTTTCCACAGCCTTATCTCTGTTTTGGCCTAATGTCCCATCACCACCCTATACTTGCCCTTCACTGTCCAGGCTGAATCCCTGGAAGGATGATAGTAAATATGAACATAGTAGGGCGCCTGGGTGGCTCAGTTGGTTAAGCGACTGCCTTCGGCTCAGGTCATGATCCTGGAGTCCTGGGATCGAGTCCCGCATCGGGCTCCCTGCTCAGCAGGGAGTCTGCTTCTCCCTCTGACCCTCCCCCCTCTCATGCTCTCGCTCTATCTCATTCTCTCTCTCAAATAAATAAATAAAATCTTTAAAAAAAAAACATTAAAAAAAATATGAACATAGTAGTGAAAAAAGCAAGTTACAAAAATAATCATATTACAGTCTCATTTTATTTTTATTTTTTTTTTAAAGATTTTATTTATTTATTTGAGACAGAGAGAATGAGAGAGAGAGAGCACATGAGAGGGAGGAGGGTCAGAGGGAGAAGCAGACTCCCCGCCGAGCAGGGAGCCCGATGCAGGACTCGATCCCGGGACTCCAGGATCATGACCTGAGCCGAAGGCAGTCGCTTAACCGACTGAGCCACCCAGGCGCCCACAGTCTCATTTTAAAAATATTAATAGATTTTCTTTTTAGAGCAGTTTTAGGTTTGCAGAAATATTGAGCAGCAAGTACAGGGAATTCCCATACACCTCTTCCCACCCTTGGCCACATACAGTTTCCCCTCTTTTAACATTTTGCATTTAGTGTGGTATATTTATTAAAATAGATGAGCCAGGGGGCGCCTGGGTGGCTCAGTTGGTTAAGCGACTGCCTTTGGCTCAGGTCATGATCCTGGAGTCCCGGGATCGAGTCCCGCATCGGGCTCCCTGCTCGGCAGGGAGTCTGCTTCTCCCTCTGACCTTCCTCCCTCTCATGCTCTCTGTCTCTCATTCTCTCTCTCTCAAATAAATAAATAAAATCTTTAAAAAAAAAATAGATGAGCCAGTATTGATTCATTATTATTAACCAAGGTTCATTGTTTACATTAGGATTCATTCTTTGTGTTATACATGCTATGGGTTTTGACCAATGTATAATGATATATATCCACCATTAGGGTACCATACAGAATAGTTTCTGTACCCTAAGAATTCCCTGTGTTCCACCTAATCATTCCTTTTTCCCTTCCCCCAAATCCTTGGCAGCCACTCATCCTTTTTTTTAAATTGTGATAAAATATACATAACATGAAATTTACTCTTTTAACCATTTTTAAGTGTATAATTCAGTAGCATTAAGTACATTCACAGTGTTGTATAACCATCATCACTATTTCTAAAACTTTTTCATCAACCCAAACAGAAATTCTATACTCACTAAACAATAACCCCCAAACCCCACTCTACCCCAGCGCCTGGTAACTTCTATTTTCTGTCTCTATAAATTTCCTTATTTTAGGTACTTCATATAAGAGGAATCATGTAATACCTCTCCTTTTTTTTTTTTTTAAAGATTTTATTTATTTATTCATGAGAGACAGAGAGAGAGAGGCAGAGGGAGAAGCAGGCTCCCAAGGAGCAGAGAGCCCGATGCGGGACTCGATCCCAGGACCCTGGGATCATGACCTGAGCCGAAGGCAGACGCTCAACCATCTGAGCCACCCAGGCGCCCCAATACCTCTCCTTTTGTGTCTGGCTTATTTGCATCTGACATAACATAATGTGTTCATTCATCTATATTGTAGATGTATCAGTATTTAATTTATTTTTATTGCTAAATATTCCACTTTATGTATATATTACATTTTTTTTTATCCATTTATCCATTGATGGACACTTGGATTGTTTCCACTTTTAGCTACTGTGAGAAATGCTGCTAGGAGCATTGGTGTGCGAGTATCTGCTTGAGTCCCTGCTTTCTATTTCTTTGGATATGTACCTAGAAGTGGAATTGTCAAATCACATGGTAATTCTGTGTTTAACTTTTAGAGAAACTGCCACCAAATTGTTTTCCACAGCAGCATTTTGCCTTTTCACCAGCAATGAATAAGAGTTCTTACTGCTCCACATCCTTACCGCATTCACTATTGTCAGTGTTCTGGATTTTGGCCATTCTAATAGGTGTGTAGTGGTATCTCATAGTGATTTTAATTTTTAATTCTCTAATGACATGTTGAATATCTTTCTGTATCTTTTTTGATGAAGGGTTCAGGTCTTTTGTCCATTTGTAAATTGGGTTATTTTCTTATTGTTGAGTTTTAATAATTTTTTGTATATTTTGGATACCAGTCCTTTATCAGGTATGTGTTTTGCACAGATTTTCTCCAAGTGTGGCTTGTTTTTTCATTCTCTTAGTAGTGTCTTTTGGAAAGAAGTTTTTAGTTTTAATGAAGTCCAACTTAATTTTTTTTCATAGGTTGTGCTTTTGGTGATGCATCTAAGAAGTCATCATCAAACCCAAGATCATATAGATTTTCTCATAATCACATCCTTGAAAGAAAAAATATATGTATGTTTCTATTTTTCATCTTTTGTTAATCTGTATTTTCTAATTTTTTTACATTGCAAATTAATTACATACTTTTTTATATAATTTAAAAATACCAGAGTTGGCAACAAGGTGGCTTCTTTTAGTTTTACATATAGCACTCTGTGAACCAGAAGACAAAGTTTTACCACTTCAGGTTTCAGTTTCCCTATCTATCAGTGAGTACTAGAACAGAGAAATCACAGAGTTCCCTTTCTGTCATAACATCTAGCATACTCATACCTTTTTTTCCAAGTTCTTTAAAAAGTCCATGGACTTAATTGGAGCATCCAGCCAGGGTGTATCCAGCTATGGGGCAGGGGAGGACTGTGTGTATATGTGTAAACATTTTTAAGACTATTCACCTAGGAGTTTATGGAAGTAAGAAGCTGGGTCTATACTTTCCAGACACTGTCCACATGCCTCACGAGCACCAGCTGTGCTCTATGGTTAGGTGGGAAAGCAGGTCCCCATGAGGAAGTTCCTCAAAAATTAAAAATAGAGATACCATAACATCCAATAATTTCATTATTGTGTATTTACCCAAAGAAAATGAAAACATTAATTCAAAAAGATATATGTACCCCTTTGTTTACTGCAGCCTATTTCCAATAGCCAAGATATGGAAGCAACCTAAATGTCTATCAATAGATGAATGAACAAGGAAGGTGCAGAAGACACACACACACATCCCTTATATATATAACGGAATATTATGCAGCCATAAAAAGGATTAGATCATGCCATTTGAGATAATGAATGGACCTAGAGGGTATATGCTAAGTGAAATAATGCAGACTAAGACAAATGCCATATGATTTCACTAATATGTGGAATAAAAAAATGAATAAACAAAAAAGCAGAATCAGACCTATAAATACAGAGAACAAATTGTTGGTTTCCCAAGGGGAGGAGGTGGGGTTGTTGGGCAAAATGGGTGAAGGGAGTGGGAGATACAGCATAAAGAATATAGTCAATGATACTGTAATAGTGATGTATGTGGACAGATGGTAGCTACACTTGTGGTGAACATGGCATAAACTTGTTGAATCACTGTGTTGTACACTGGAAACATAACATTGTGTGTCAACGATACACAAAAAATTTAAAAATCTGCTCTGCCCCTCCCCCCTGTGCTATCACGCATACTCTTTCTCAAATAAATAAATCTTAAAAGAAAAAAAAAGCAAGGGTGGGGTACCTGGATGGTGCAGTCGTTAAGCATGTAATTGGTTTCAGCTCAGGTCATGATCTCAGGGTCGTGAGATCAAATTCCCAGTCAGGCTCCTGCTCAGTGTGCAGTCTGCTTGAGAC